TCGGCGCCTCCCGCGGCGGGGCTGGACCTGCGCCGCCCTCGTCCCGCCCCGGGGCCCCGGCTGCCCGGCCCTCCGGAGCTTTTTGTGCCTCAACCTGCCGCGTTTGTTACCTGCAGCCTGCCCGGCGCCCGGCAGCCGCCGTCGAAGGCTGCGTACGGCTGCTTCCCTGCACCTGGCGGCCGCGGTTGCTCCTCCCGGGAGCCGGTGGAGGCGCTCGCCCTTGGGTTCTCAAAGGTGAAGTGGGTGATGTCTAAGTCATTGGGAGACTCAGGCAACAGTTGTAAACCAAGAAAAATTTGAAACCAAGCGTTCTAAGTAAAATAATAACAAAAACTAGATTTCCACTAGCAAGACTGACCATAGGTGAAAATCTCAAGTCGTTTCAAAAAATTGTGCAAAGTGAAAATGGATTTCAAAAGACTATGTTCTTGAAATGCACTGTTTCTGTGAGAAAAGGATTTCCAAGTGCTTACTGGAGTTATTGGGTCGCCCTGAGAGGGGCGCTATTTGTTCCATTTAAATATGCTATTCTTAATTACTTGGAGGAAAGACAAAAGAGAACCAAAGGGAAAAAGTGAAAAGGTCGAGGAAAAATGCAAAAAAAAAAAAGGAAAGAGATCTTTCTACACTATAAACTAGTGCCCCAATCCAATAGGACTGGTACCCCAGAACTATGGGCTCTCATGTCTTTCGGAGCTAGTCCTTTTTTGGGAATAAGGACAGTGTATTCCTGCTTTTAGATACTTAAATTTGTACTTAGTTTTATTTACTATATTAAGGGAAGTCATTAAATGACACCAAGGATCATATTGATGTGTTTATTAGCTTTTTTATTTTAATTTATTTTTATTTTTATTTTTTATTTTTTGGCAGTACTGGAGATTGAACTCAGACCCTTGCACTTGCCAGGCAAGTGCTTATTCTACTGAACCATCTCCCCGGCCCCTAGCATCTTTTAAAGGTAGTGGTCCTGGTTCTTTGAGCCAGGCACTTGTGGAATGGCGTTCCCATACGTAAGAGATGAATAAAGTGGCCTTCTTAGGTAGAGGTGCTTTGGAGTGCATGGATAGAAAGCATCTCTGCCCCCACCCCCAAAACCAGTGCTCTTTGCATAGTTCTCATAAGCCTTCATTGGTTCAAGAATGACCACCGTGAAATGAACAAGCGGTTAACTCAGGAAGTTTCTGTGTACTTGATACTGTCCTGAGTGGTGAGAGGAGAAGCAGAATATGAGATAAAAGATTACAAATGACCGTCGGCGTGTGATGACACAACTTGCATCACCAACATGAAAATTCCTTTCTTCGCCGCTAGATGGTGGGTTTGAGTCTTCTCTGGCCTTCAAGCACATTTCTGTGGAGGAAGTATGTTTCACAAAGCTTTGTATAAATAAACCAGGTTTTTGGGTTTTTTTTTTTTAACTTTTTGAGATAAGGTTTCACTATGCAGTTGAGCTGGCCTCACTCTCTTTGTAACACAGGCTGGCCTCAAACTCCCAGGACTCCTACCTCAGCCTCCCCAATGCTAGAATCACGGTTATGCCACCTCTCCGGGTCAAACCAAGTACAATCCTAAACGAAATTAGTGACAAATGTACTTCACAATCACACCACATCATTTGGTTTAAAACAAAGCAAGGGTAATATTCCTCAATATATTGTATTTTTAAAGGGTCTCAGACATAGATGCAGAGAATTCTAGAGGCTTCAGAGATGAATTCTAAAAAAGAACTATAGATTCTGTCATTTGAACTATGGAATTGGAAGCCAAGACAAATAAAGCGACTTGACCAAAGTTAGTTAACTGCTAGGTGGGCAAAAGCTGGGTGACAGTTTCCCATTTCTGCTTCACTTATCTTAAGTTGAGGACCAATGTGTAGTTAACTCCTCACAAAAGCCTATTTTAGTGTATACAGTTTTTTCTTTCTTTTTTTTTTTTTAAAGACAGGGTCTCACTATGTAGTTCAGGGTGGCCTTGAGCTTACTCTGTGGCCCAGGCTAATCTTGAACTCACTGTGATCCTCCTGCCTCAGCCTCAAGAGTTCTGGGATTATAGGTGCGGCCCCATGCCCAGGTCTCAGTGGCTTGTAGTATATTCCAAGTTGTGCAGCCTTTATCACAATCAATTTTAGAACATTTTCATCAACCCAAAAAGAAACTTTTTTCCTTATTAGTTGTTCATCCTTCCCCTAGCGACAACTAATCTACTTTTTGTCTGTTTTTCACATAAACTGAATTATACCACATGATCTTTTGTCACTGACTTCACTTAGCATAATATTGTCAAGGTTCCTCCATGTGATAGTATGTGTCAGTATTTGCCTTTATTGCCAAATAATATTTTATTGAATGGGTATATATTTTGTTCATCCATTTGAGTTGATGGCTATGTTTATTGTTTTCATTTTTTGGCTACTATAAAATGGTTTTATCAACATGTGTGCAAAGTTTTTGGTTTCTTTGTTTCGTTTGGTTTTGGTTTTTTTGAGATAGGTTGGCTTTAAACTCACTGTGTAGCCCAGGTTTGTCTCTAACTCTCAGCAGTCCTCCTGTCTCCACCTCCTCAGTGCTGGGATAACAGATATGCATTTGTACCATGCCCAGTTCTAGACAGGTTTTTGTGCTATTTTTTTTAATTAATACAAATATTTCATATTATTTTGCAATAATTTCAAACAATAGAAAAATTTCAAGAACTCATCCCCTTCACTTAGCTTCTCCAAGTTTTAGTATTTTGCCATGTCTGCTTTTATTCAGTCTCTTTCTGTATCCATATAGTTTTGGGTTTTTATTGTTGTTTTGTTATTTTGCAGTTGTTGTTTTATAGTTTCTGTGTTGGCCAGATTAGCTTTAAACTCACTGTGTAGGGCTGGTGAGATGGCTCAGTGGTCTAAAGCACCTACTTAGAACAAGCTTAGCAAAGCACAGGGACTGCGGTTCAATCCCCCAGCACCACATGCCAGCCAGCCCCACCCCCTGGTGGGCTGAGCTGGCCACACACACACACACACACACACACAAATAAATAAATATAAAAAAAAAAATAAATAAATAAACTCACTGTGTATCCCAGGCTGGCCTGAAACTCACAACAGTCCTCCTGCCTCAGCCTCCTAAGTGCTGGAATTACAGGTGGACACTGCCATGCCCAGCTGGCTTTGTTCTTATTCAGAGTACTTTTGAACAATCTGATTGTGTCTAAATTACTCTTCTCTCTTTGCTAGGACAAATACCCCATGCCCAATATGAAGGAAGGAAAGGTTTATTTAGCTCACAGTTACTAGAGGTTTTAGTCACTGAGCTGGCTCCAAGGCAGACTGGCACAGGGCAGAAAACAGAGAGCAAAGAGAGTGGCAGCGAGCAGCCTCTCTTCCCTCCTTCCATTGTAATGCGGATTACCTGCCCAGGGCAGGTGCAACGCCCACAGTAATCAATAACAAACTCCAAAAGCCACCCCAGGATTGCGTGAGGCTTTGCAGGGACAACTAGACACAAACCATGACAGACAGAAAGCTGCACACTCATTGCCCCATCACCCTAAATATTCAGTGTGTATATCCCTAAAAGAAAATGGTGTCCTTTATGAAGATTATGCACCCTCCAATCAGGAAGCCAACATAGATTCAACACAAACTCTGTTAACAGTTCACTCACTGATGTTTTAACTAGTCATAAATCCCATCCAGGAACTTGCATTAAATGTATTAATGCCATTTATCTTCACATGTCACTCAATCTTAAAAGTTTCTTAGTCTTTCCTTGTCTTCCATGACCTCAGTAGTTTTTAAAGAGTACAGGGTTTTCATTCTATAGATTAATCCTCAGTTGGATTCATCTAGTGTGTGCTTATGACTAGGCCTGGGCGTACATTTTGACAGAGAGCCCACAAAAATGAGAGTGGACTCTTTTTGGTGTACCTCATTATGTCAACCCTTTGCCCCACTGTTATGAGAGTTCTGATTATCTGCTCAAGTGGGGTTTTTGCCATAAAAATCACCACTTTTTCTTTGTACTTAATAAATATTTTGTGGGAAGATATTCTGAGATAACACCAATATTGTGTCCCTCACCCACCAGCCTTAATAACCATTAATGTCTAAAATCACAGTAATGAAGGTCTAATAGTGATATTTCCTGCTTCACCATTTCTTCTGGATTTCCTAGTTAGAATTCTAATATAAGAGAAAGTTTTTTCCTTTCCTTCCTCTTATTTTTTTATTCATTTGCTTTCTGGTTT